TTATATTTCAAGATAAAATAATATTGGTGCAGAGGGTGCAAAAGATTTAGGCACAGGAATAGCCTAGTGCAAAAATATCACAACTTTGATGCTTTACTTAGAGTAAAAATTTAATTTATTCATTGATTGATAAACTAATAATTGGTTATTTTAAGCTTTTGACTTAGTTATTAGCTAATTAAGCCAGCTTTTCATTTACTAACTTGCCTTCTTATTGATTTACTTATTAATCAAATAAAATATAACGAATTTCTTTACTTATTCATCACAGCATAACTAAAATACTAACGAAAACAATAGTTTTTTACCATTATTTCTCCTCCATATTTATTTAATTCCTTATTTATATTTCAAGTGGTAATAATATTGGTGCAGAGGGTGCAAAAGATTTAGGCACAGGAATAGCCTAGTGCAAAAATATCACAACTTTGAAGCTTTACTTAACGTAAAAATTTAATTTATTCATTGATTGATAAACTAATAATTGGTTATTTTAAGCTTTTGACTTAGTTATTAGCTAATTAAGCCAGCTTTTCATTTACTAACTTGCCTTATTATTGATTTACTTATTAATCAAATAAAATATAACGAATTTCTTTACTTATTCATCACAGCACAACTAAAATACTAACGAAAACCATAGTTTTTTACCATTCTTTCTCCTCCATATTAAAAATATGAATCTGGGTATACCGGCCCAAGCCAAAATTTTCTTCCAAAAAGCCTTAAAATTTTTATTTCAATGAAAAAATAAAATTTTTATATATTTTTCATGAAATACACACCCTGTGTGCTCACTCTAAAAATGATTACTTTTATATGCAAAAATTGTGAATGACATTCTGTTCGCTTAAAGAATAATTATCCTTTTTATAATTATTAAAAATTCTTTGTTATAATCTTAAAGCTATTAAATAATTATTTCTTTATTTAAAAATTAATTTTTGATTGATTTAAAACTTTATTTGTTGAAATTATAACTTTTAATTTTAAAGATTAGATGATTATAATGCGAAAATTTAATTGGAGAATTCACTAAAAAAATAATTATAAGCTAAGGTAAAATATAATTAGTTAAATTCATAAAAAATTGATTTATTTAAACTAATAAAATAGATATATATCTATTGACATTCAGCGAAAAGTTAAATATAACAAACCTGAGCTTTAATAATTTATTTATTAAAAATTTAAACTCTACATATATGTTTCATAAAAATATATATTTTATAATTTTATTTTTTATAAATGTGTTGATTAATTAGATCATGATTATTACTTATAGTTTGATTGATACCCTAATAATTTTGTTTAAATCCTAATCTGAACATCTGAAAATATTTAATTATAAAAATATGAGTTGATGTGATTAATAGATATAATTTATTAGAAATATTATTATAAGTCTCTTAAAACATCACTTTAAATATGCCAAATAATAGTTAATATTACTTTATATATTTAAGGCAATTTAATTATTTATGGGTTATAATTACTTCTCTCTCACAATTTAATTTAATAACTTTTATTTCCAGAAAACTATTACAAAATTTATTTTATAATAATATTTAATTTTATCTAATCTTTACATTGATGACTATAAAATGCGTGGTTGATATAATATTAATTATCATGATTAATTTCAGAATAATTATCATCTAAGTGTTAATTATAATCTTATTCTTCAAATTCTTTCATTTAAAATTGATTAATATAAGATAACAAAATAAATTATTATTGATTTTGGATTAAAAATTACCCAATTTTTATTTTATTGTGTTTTTTAAATAATAAAGAATTATTATAATAGTTAACAAATGATAAAAGTGAATTAAAATGAATAGAATTATCTGAAAAATATGGCATATCATAAATGACTATATTAAGACTTATTAAAAAATTTTATTGAAAAAATAACACCTAAACATCAAATATAGCTGTTATAGCATTTGAAATATCACAAAGTATGATATCATAATTTGTGATATTTAAAATAATTTTTATATTAATAATGAATTTTTTTTCTTCTAAATCTTAATTAATTATATTCAAAAAATTAATTTCTCGTCAGCCGTCACTGTCAAGAAAATGAGACCGATGATTGAGGTATTACAGTATTACTACAAGAATTTTAATCCAAGAAGTGCTATATTCATGAAATTTCAGATCTGTCATATTTAATTTTATAAAATTGATTTTTCTTGGGTTTTTTATAAAATTATTTTTTTTGTAAATCACTTAAACTAATTGTAAAAATATTTTTTTTATTTTTGAAACAATGAAAGTACAAATCCATAAAATTTACTATGAAGAAATTATATGACTTTTATTAAAAAAACATAAAATGTCTTAATTAGTTTTAGAATTAATACTTAAATTTTCTTTTTATTTGTAAAATTAATTATTTCCTATTTAAGGTTTCAGCTTTGATATGTTTAAGAATAAATTTCTGAGAATTAATGCTGAAATTTCCTTTTTATTTGTAAAATTATTTCCTATTTATTTTTCTTTAAAATGTCTCAAAATAAATTTCAAATCAGGCTTTTCAAACAAAATGTGATAATTGCTTGAACTATGAAGATATTTTTGATATTTCAAATTCGAGCTCTTTACATTTCATAAAATTAATATAAAGGAGTTATTAAACCCAATTAAGCAGTAACAAAAATATTTGCTTTATGATATAAGATAATATCTTAGCTAAGTTAAATTGCTAAAAATATAAGTAGTTTTTTTCAGAAAAATATAAAAATTAATACAAAAGTTTTTTCTTATATTAGATTAAGAATTTTAAGCAAGAAAAATAGCTAGATTTAAAATATTATTTATGATTATTTAATCTAATCAACAAGGATAAGTTAAGAGACTGATAGAATTTAATTATATATTTACTTAGATTTAGTTTCATAAATGGAGTTAGACTGAGATAAAAATCTAATTTCATAAAATTAAAGGTAGGAATTTAAAATATGTTTTTATATTAAAATTTTTAATGGCATAACTAAGATATTTTATTTACTAAATTTACAATATGTCTATCCTCTCTATTATATGCCTATATTAAAAAAAAAATTTATAGCAAGAGTCGTAGTATAGCTTTTGATAATAGTTAGTATTTTTATAACAAAGCTTTAAATATATCTATGAATAAAAATGTGGATAGTAAAAGGAAGAATATCAAATGAAGATGATATTTTGCAAATTCAATTTTAATTAAAAGTGCTTAAATTTCTTAAATGCTTTTAAAAATAATAAAGAAGAAAAAGAATTATTAATGTTTGCTGTTGAAATTTAATATTTGTATTATCAAAGTATTAAACTTAAAGAATTCGATTTTGTTAGAAATGTTTAGTAAGATTATGTGACATTATACATGCGAATTTAGGAAGTATTTGTATTTTTAAAAATAATAAAGATGCAAAAGAATTATTAATGATTAATGTTGAAATTTAATATTTGTATTATCAAATTATTCAACTTAAAGAATTCCATTTTAAAAGAAATTTTAAGGAAGATTATGTGACACTATTCATGCGAATTTAGGAAGTATTTGTATTTTAAAAAATAATAAAAAAGTTATATATAGTAAAGTAATATTATTTTAAACTCATCTGTTCTTCTTAAGATTTGTGAATTTCGATCCTTGCGAAAGTAATAAAAAATGATAGCTGAATTAAAAAAGATGTAAATTTGAAATATCAATTTCCTCATTTAAATATCTAAGAAGAGCGATATTATTATTGAAATTGAATAAATGATGCAATTAGAAAGATAAATTTGTATAAAATTTTGACCATTAAGAAAATCAGAAAAAATCGAATGACAAAAGAATTACAAGCTTAAATAATCAAAATACAATAATTCGAATGAAGAATTTAATGATTATAATGTAAAAATCACTAATTAAAAAGTAGAATCAAGAAACTTACAATAATAATAATTATTAAAACTGAATTATCAATTTATAATCGAAGAATTTCAAATCTTCAGTTTATTGAATAAACCTTTTAGAGAAAGTTATAAAATATCTGCTTAGTTGACACCCTCAAACAGAAAAACATTTTTAAAAACCAATGAATTAAAGTTTTTTTGGCTTATTTTAGAAAAATGATAATAAGTAAGTAATATCATTAAGTCAAAACATTACATTTGAAAGGGTTAAACACTTTTCAAACAATAACTAGAAAATAAATACCATTAGCTAATCACAGAGTAACTCAACCTACTTAAGTTTAACTGATGCAGAAACAAATAAGCTTTAAGAGATGAGCTGTTAAAATGTAAATTAACTGGATAATTTATAAGCGATTACTCAAATTTAGCATCATGATAAAGTTTTTAAAGAAGAATAAGATTGTTCGAGTTTGTTGAATTTAATAAGTAATATTTCAGTTAATAATAAAAAATATATAGGCCAGTACAATAAATATTAAAGCATTGCTGCTTCTTTATAGCCTAAAGTGCCTTAAAAAATGAGCTAAAGTGAATTGAGCTTATGCGATAAGGCGAAGTTAGATTAAGAAAGCTAACTTTATGATAAAAAATTAAACTCTAATTTCTGCTTTAATCTTTTAATTAATTTTAGAAACTAAATTACAAACATAAGCGTATCTTAAGTTCAAAGAAGAAATCTTTTGAATTTAATTTATAAAAACAAAAACAAACAATTTAATGATAAATTAATTAATTTCACTTGCAAATAATATCATTCACTTAAATTCAAACCCAAAACTGAAAACAAATCTTTGTTACTTGATCAGAAATATTTCGGAAAGGAAAAAACCTTTGAAGTAAAAAATTAAATCTTAATAGATAAAAAAAAGTTAAACTAAATCGGTGTTTAGCTCATAAATTAATAAGATATTGCCCACTATAAAAATTGTATTCATAATTAATCTGATTAATTAAACAAAACAAGCAAATCTTAAATTAATTAGAACAAAAATTAACTACTTCAAAAAAATTGCAATAAAGCAGAAGATTCTATATTTTCAAAGAACATTTCCTTTTAATATAATGAATAAACGAATGCTAATGAGCATATAATTTGTATGAAATAAATTTAATTAGATGAAAAAGCTTCATTAAAATTATCTAAAATAATTAATACAATGAATACAAAAAATTAATCAATATTCTAAAGTTAAAAAAATAAAATTTTAGGAGGAGGAATTTGTGGAAGTAAAGAGAATGCTTATTCATCAAAATAAGTTTATGTTAAACAATAATAAGAATTGCAATAAAATATACCTTAAATTTATAATAAATTGTAAGATTAAACTGAGATTGTTAAAGAAAAACACGAAAAACCTTAATTAAATGAATTAGAAAGGTTTAATATGTCTTATGAGGAATATTTTACTTCAAAAAAATTAAATGAAAATGAAATAGAAAATGAAGTAAAGTTTATTATTAAGAAAATACTTTATCCGTTAAATGATTACATAGGCACTTAAGAGATTAGAGATAAAGTGATTGATGTGATTAATTTGTTGATAAACTATTTATTAGTAATCATATTTAGTAAAAAGTAAAGTGCTACTGAAAAACAAATTATCAAATTAAATAAAAAGTTATAAAGTCTCAGATTGTATTGTGATGAGAACAAAGAAAGATTTCCATGTTTGAGCATTTATCAATATTGCGATATATTGATTTAGTTAAATTCTTAAAGATTAAAATTGGATGAAGTCAATTTAGGTAGTGACTCATTATATTTAGTTTAAAAAATCGCTTAAGTTGCTAAATATGGAGCTGGATTTGTTAGCATAAAAGGAGCTACTAAAAATGTATCAGAAACTGAGTTAATTGAAATGAAGAATTGTTTTAACGAAATTAAATCAATTATTTCTTAAAATCGTACTTAGGGAGGAACAATAAATACTATTTAAGATATTAAAGAGAATAATATTGCATAAAAAATATATGGTTTATTTTTGAAGAAAGTCGATGTTATAGGAGATCAATTTTTAGAAAATGATGGAATTGAAGAAATTATTTTCTTATTGGAAGAGATAATAAATATTACAGATAATGAAAGTATAATATTTTTCTATATGTAATTGAACTATTTGTTGTCTAAATAGAAAAAGAAGGATGGCTTTAAAGAGCTTTTGTAGAGGTTAGAAAAAGAAAATAAGACAGACTTAATTATGAAATAAGAAAGTTTCGTTTAAATTGAAGAAATTTATACTGTTGAAAAACGTAGAAGTATTGCTAATCTGATAGCATAGTATAATTAATTTAGATTCATAAGATCTGAATTGCTTATGAGTTTTGCTCAAATATTAAAACTATCAAATAGAACTGAAAAACAGTTTACATCAGTCATGATAACGATTGTCTCAAATTACTTCTAAGAAAAATAAAAAGCAGTAAAAATTGTCTCTGAAGAGAATTTAATTATGGCTGATTTTATTAACAAATAATTAGAAAAAAGCAAAATAATAGCTGAAATAAATTACTCTAAATAATAAATTTATTAACTGCTAGACCATAAGTAATAATACAATCAGTTTGCATATGAAATTAATAATGATAGAGAATTGGAAATTCATTTAACAAAATATTCTGTGATTGCTTGGGTATAAAGATTAAAAGAAATTCAACAAGATCTTTATTTGAATTATAAAGATGAGTTATTGATAGAAGTAAACAATTTGTATGTTGATTAATAGATAACTTATTAAGAAGGTTTTAAAATTAACACTGATGAAAAAGATGCATTAAATTAAATTATCAATCAATTTCTCGTCCCTAACTTTGTGATTTCTTCAGATGAAACTAAGCAGTTGCAGAATCAATTTGATGATAAAAATTTTAATTAAAATCTTTAGATATTTTAATAAAATGATTAATAAGAATATCAACAATAAGAGAGAAGAAATGTTAATAATGTCTAATGTAAAATTTTATCAATTTTAGCAGAAAGCGGATGTGGAAAGTCAACGCTTTTAAAAAAACTTTAAGTTGAATTACTTCATCGTAAATCTTGTTATACAAAGAATAATAAATCTGATTTCATACCAATTATAATTAAGTGTAAATAATTGGATAGATAAAAACCATCTATTGAAGATTATCTTGAATCTGAAAACTTAGACAAAAATTTTATAGAAATTTTAAAGAAATCTGAAAAAAATAAATTAATCATGCTTGATGGGTTTGATGAATACGATGGTGAATATTTTCAGGTCTACCAAAAATTAAAACTTAATGAATGGGTTAATACATTAGTAATTGTCACTTCTAGATTAGAAAAGATTGCTGTTACTGATGCTTAAAATTACTTTAAATACTATAATTAATATGGAAACTAAGGCTAGAGTGATTCTTTTACTATTGTCAAGCTTGAGAAATTCACAGATTCAGACATTTTTGAATATTTACAAAAGTTTGAAAAATAAAAATCTTCAGAAAAGCAATAACATAATCAGATCAAATAATTAATAAACAGATTCGAATAATTAATTGAATTAATTAGAACTCCAATTAATTTATACTATTTAACAAGAATGACTAAAGATATCAATCTTAACGATGAAGCTGTTTATTTTGCTTTCTAAGAAGTTTCAGATTAAATAGAATTATTTGAATTATTCTTTTAACAAATTTTCAATAAAAAATCTAAAATATTCATTTAATAGCAAAAACATTTAAATTTGAATGAGAACTAAAAACATGAAATCATTGAAAAAATTTAAACTTGCTTCTTTGAATATTTTTAATCTATTGCAATGCAAATATTTCTTTAGAAAGGTTAAAAACCAAATTATCTTTCAATAGCAAAAATTCAAATAAAATTTTAGCCAAAAGAATAAATTTTAGAATTCCTCTAAAAATATTAACTAAAAACAGAAGAAATAAACAATTTATTTAACAATTTTAACGATCCAAGAGTGGTGAAAATAAATTATTTTAATCAAAGAGAAAACAAAAACAATTTAAAAAATGAAAATCCAACTTAAATAAAATTTTTTGAAAATGAACAAGAATTTGAGTTCAGGTTTAAATCGCTCTATGAATATTTTGCTGCTAGAGCTATGAAATACGATTTTGATTTACACAAAGAAGAAATCTTTAAATTAGATATTCAATAACTGAAGCAATTTTAAATTAACAAAAAAGTTATAATGAATTGCTAATCAAATACATCTGATCAATAAATTCTTTTGAATCTTTATAAATTAATTAAACTTAATTTAGATTCATTATCTTTTAAGTACACATATGCTTAATAAGATTTATCATAAACGAATAGATACATATAATTCTTAAAAAAATCTACAATTTAAAAACACACAGAAAAGAGCTAGATAGACATTGGAGCGTCTAATTTATTGTCAGCTTTGTTTATTTCTAAGTTCTTGTTTGTCAATTTAACTTTCTACAAAAACTCATTCTCACAAGCTTATTTGCCTTCTAAAAAACTCATCAAATTTTAAGATTGTAATTTAGATAACGCTTTCATTAACAAATAAAATTTAGAAAATTGTGAAACTTCAAACACAAATAACGCTCTTTTCGGTGATTTCGAGAATTTATTTGACACAAAAGACATTTATTAATTTAACAAAGTAATATTTTACAATAAAACTCTTATTTCTATAACAAGAACAGGATTTATTAATTAATTTGAAATTACTGAAAATAATTCTTGTAAAATATTGAAATCAATTCAGATCACGACAGTTCCCTTGAGAGCTATTCATTTTGTCATAAATAAAAATATATTCGTTTTAAGAGGGAGAAAGTCTTTGTTTGAGGTAGATGCTCAAACTTTTGAGAGAACTAACTCTTACACATTCTCATATGATATAGCAAACTCATCAATCAATGAATTAAAATATATTGTTACCTTAGAGAATAAATAAGTATTTTATGGAGATATTTAAAATGGATTTATTTTATTAGATCAAAATAAAATATAATCTGAATAATCTTTGTCATTAAATGATCTGATTTTCACTTATCTCAATAATTAAATTCACATTTACAGTTTATAAAATCTCTAATTCATAAAGACAATACAAAACTGTAAAATTGATTTAAACATATCTGCCTTTTCTCCAGATGGCAAATATCTTGCAACTGCAGGTTTAAAAGATAATTTTTTATATATCTGGAATGTTCAATAAGGATTTTAACTCGTTAATACTATTCAAGGACATTCAGATTTTATTTTTTCAGTTGCTTTTTCTTCTGATGGAAAGTACATCGCAACAGGTTCAAAAGATAAAACTTGCAAAATCTGGGATGCTGAAAAAGGACTTCAACTCATAAACACAATTCAAGGACATCATTAAACAATATTATCGGTTGCTTTTTCTGATGATGGAAAATATCTTGCAACTAGCTCACACGATTAAACTTGTAAAATCTTTAATATTTTATAAGGATTTGAGTTTATAAACACTATTTAAGGACATGCATAAACTATTAACTCAGTTGCTTTTTCTCCAGATGGCAAGTACTTAGCAACAGGTTCAGGCGATAATACTTGCAGAATCTGGAGTGTGGAAAAAAAGAAATTTTATCTCTTAAACATTTTACAAGGACATAAGAATTAAATAAATTCAGTTGCATTCTCTGCTGACAGTAAGTATCTTGCTACTGGTTCTTAAGATAATACTTGCAAAATCTGGAATATCGAAAGAGGGTTTCAACTTATTAATACAATTTAAGATCATTTTTCATCAATAAATTCTGTAACTTTTTCTCCTGATGGGAAATATTTTGTTACAGGTTCAAGTGATAAAAGTTGCAAAATTTGGAGCGTAGAGAAAGGATTTTAGCTGTTTAATATTATTTAAGGACATTCTTAAGAAATTAAATCAGTTGCTTTTTCTGGAGATGGCTAGTTACTAGCAACAGTTTCATCTGATAATACTTGCAAAATTTGGAATTCTCTATATGGATTTTGCTTCATTAATAATATTCAAGGACATTCACAACCAATTACTTCTGTTACATTCTCTGTAGATGGAAAATATTTAGCAACAGCTTCCGAAGATAAAACTTGCAAAATCTGGAATTTATTAAACAATTGCTAGATCCTAAAAACTATTCAAGGACACACTTCAAAAATTAATTCAGTTTCCTTTTCAGCAGATGGAAAATATTTAGCTACTTGCTCTGAAGATAAAACTTGTAAAATTTGGAATACCCAAAATGAATTCTAAATGATAAAATCAATTGAAGGACATGTTTTAGAGGTTAATTCAGCTTCTTTTTCTCCAAATTCCAAGTACCTCGCTACAGGTTCTTCAGATAAAACTTGCAAAATTTGGTGCATAGAAAAATTATACCATCTCAATAATTCAATTGAAGAACAATCAATTTTTGTTAATTAAGTTACATTCTCTTAAGACTGTAAATATCTCGCAGCCTGTTTAGATAACAATACATGCAAAATTTGGAGAGTTGATAAAGGATTTGATTTTTTAACTACAATCTAAGGCCATTCAAAAGCAATTAATTCAGTTGCTTTTTCTGCGGATGGCAAGTATCTAGCAACTGGTTCTTCTGATTCTACTTGCAAAATCTGGAACGCACATAAAAGATTTGAGCTTTTATAAACAATTGATGCAGAAATTCATCATATTACTGCAGTGGCATTTTCTTTAAATGGGAAATATCTCGCCCTAGGTTCTTATTTTGCTTGTAAAATCTTGGATGTAGAAAAAGGATTTGAGGTCATTACTAAAATTTAGGAAAATACAGAAAAAATAAACTCAGTTGTTTTCTCCGATGACAGCAAGTACTTTGCTACAGGTTCAAATGATAAAACTTGCAAAATATACACAGCAGAAAATTACTTTTAACTAGTAAGCACTATTTCAGGACATACTTCTTTTGTTTATTCGGTTGCATTTTCTGCAGATGGGAGATTTCTAGCCACAGGTTCTTAAGATAAAACTTGCAAAATTTGGAATATGAGATAAGGATTTGAGCATTTAATAACGCTCTAAGGACACACATTTGAAATCAACTCAGTTGCATTTTCTCCAGACAGTAATTTCCTTGCAACAGGTTCTTATGACAAAACGTGTAAAATATGGTGTGTAAATTATGGATTTTAGCTTATAAAAAATATTGAAGCTCATATTTGGATAATCAGTTCACTTGCATTTTCTACAGATGGAAAATATCTAGTGACAGGTTCTCGTGATAAGACTTGCAAAATCTGGAACCTTGAAAAGGGTTTCGATATGGTTAATAAAAATTAAGATAATGATATTAATTCAGCTTTATCTTAATATAATATGATACAAAGTTAAAACAATATAGTTTAATTTAATGGAGTTGAAAGAATGTTTTAGCTGCAATACGAACTGTGATGTGAAATATTAAAAATACTTTGAGTTATAAAATAATTCATTAAAGTTTAAGAGAAAATAAATATGATAATAAAATTTAATTTATAATTAATTGAATTTTTATTTTTTTATACATTGTAAGAATAAAATAATATGTGAATATATAATTTTTTAATAAATTAAATAAATACAATAAAACACTACTTTAATATCTCTTAAATAAACAAATTATAATTATTTTTTATGAAATTATGCAAGTTAACCTAAATTTTCTGATTATTGAGGGTAGAGTTATTCTCAAATAAATATGATATTAAAATTAAATTAATAATTAATTGAATTTTTATTTTTTGATACATTGTAAGAATAAAATAATATGCTGAATATATTATTTTTTAATAAATTAAATAAATACAATAAACACTCCTTTAATATCTCCTAAATAAACGAATTGTTATTATTTTTTATGAAATTAGGCATGTTAACCAAAATTTTCTGATTAGTGTGGGTAGAGTTATTCTCAAATATATATTTCCTTAAAATATATTTATAAAATAAAACTGAAAAATCTGCTTTAAAAAAAATATTTTACTTAACTTTCCTACCCACCTATTTTATTTTGCATTAAAAATATTAACTGTTAATATTAAGATTTAATAATGAATTTTATACACTCTTTTTGTGATATTTTTAGAAAAAAGCAAATTTATAAATTAATATTTCATTTATCTAATAATTATTTACCTAAGTTAACTCTAAGTAAATTTGAACTGAATTTATTTATAATTAATTAATTAAAACTCAATAAATTGCTATTCAAATTTTAGAGAAATTAATAAACAAACAAATAAATAAATAAATAAATAGATGATACAATAGAAAACATATTATAATAATCTAAAAGATGTAATTTTTTTTTTTTTGATTAATTTTATTTAAATTAATTTTTATGAATAAAAAAAGCTTATAAACTCTGCTCTTTAATCCCACTCTGTTCTAGATATTGATCTAAAGTATATTTAATTTATTAATGCTATTATTATTGTTAAATTTTTATTATTTATAAAATTATTTTTCTAATAAGTATTTTCTCATTCATCTCTTTATCAAAATTCATTCATTTTTTACTAATAATTAATTAATTAATAAAATATTTTTTCTTCAATATTTAAAAATTAGAAACGAAATTGGTGATTTTAATGCATCAGACTTAGGTTCTGCTTTAGCAAACTGTACTAATCTCTCAAATTTAAAACTTGAACTCTAGTAAAAACAGTTTATTTTATTTTAGATTTTGATTGTTTTTAATATAAAAATGAGTTTAAAAAAATAAAACTATTTTAATTTATTTATTAACTTTTTATTGATAGTATTTTTTATTATTCTGCTTCTTTTTTGCATATTTTTTTCTATTCTTTCTCAATTTAACTTATTTATTTATTCATTTTCAATTTTTGTTTTGATTTTTAATTAATTTCTTAATATTTCATTTTTTCTTAATATTTACCTTTTAACTAACTAAGTACCTAACTAACTATCAAATTATATTTTTTTTCTTCAATATTTAAAAAGGCTGAATAAAATTGGGGATGACGATGTTTTAAGCTTAGGTTCTGGATTAGGAAAGTGTACTAATCTCTCTAATTTGACTTTTGACCTTGGGTAATAAAGTTTAGATTTTGATATATATTTGTATAAGCATCAGTTTAAAACAATAAAACTCTTTTTATTAAATTAATTGATTAAATTAAAATTTATAATTTTATTTTTAGCTATTTATTTACTTTTATAACATTTATTTGATTTATTTTTATTATTATTCTGCTTATTTTTTTTTATTTCTTAATATTAATCATTCCTTTTTTCATTTATTTACAACTTTTACTTTGATTATTAAATTAATTCATTTCTTTTTATTTCATATATTTTCATCATTTTTACTTTTAACTAACTCATTAATTAAATGTATTTTCTTCTATATATAAAAAGTAACAATTAAATTGGTCCAATAGGTGCAATAGGCTTAGGTTCTGCTTTAGCAAACTGCATTATTCTCTCAAATTTAACTCTTAATCTTTGGTAAAAAATCTGTTAATCTATTTATTTATTTATTATCTTTTTATTAGATTTATTTTTCTCTTTTACCTTAATTGCGTATATTTATTTTTCTTTGATTCTTAATTTTACTCATTTAATTTTTCATTTTAAACTTTTGCTTTGATTATTAGTTAGTTAATTTCTTAACATTTCATAGTTTTTCCTTCAACTAACTAACTAATTAGTTATATATTTTTTTTCTTCAATTTTTAAAAAGTGAAAATTAAATTGGTGATGAAGGTGTTTTAGGCTTAGGATTTGATTTAGCAAAGTGCGCTAATCTCTCAAATTTGGCACTTAATCTTTCTTAAAAACAGTTTATTTGTTTTGCAAATTAGTATTTATTAGCTTTTTATTTAATTTATTTTTCTTTTTTATTCTGCTTGTGTGTTTTTTTATTTATAAATTTAACTCATTCATTTTTTCATTTTCAACTTTTGATTTTATTTTTCATTATTCATTTCTTATTTTTTCATATTTTTTCCTTCTAACTAACTAATTAATTAAATGTTATTTTTTGAATAATTAAAAGTTAAAATAAAATTGGTGACAAAGGTGCTTTAGGCTTAGGTTCTGCTTTAGAGAAACTTACTAATCTCTCAAATTTGGAACTTAATCTGTCGTAAAAATAGTTTATTCGTTTGGGATTTTGAAATTTTTTAACATAAATATGAGTTAAAAACAATAAAACTGTTTTAATTTAATTATTTAATTATTTATTTATTTTCATTTTATTTTAATTTTCTTTTTTTTTCTGCTTTGTGTATTTTTTTATTTTTCACTTTAAATTATTTATTTTTTTTATTTAAACTTTTGCTTTGATTATAAATTAATTCATTTTTTATTATAATTAATAATATGCATTTTCTTCAATGCTTAAAAAGTTGTAATTAAATTGGTGCAATTGGTGTTTCAGGCTTAGGTTCTGGTATAGCAAAATGCACTAATCTCTCAAATTTGGCACTTAATCTTTCGTAAAAACTGTTTATTTGATTTCAATTTTGATATTTATTAATATAAAAATGAGCTTAAAACAATATAACTAACTCTTTTAATTTATTTATTTTATTTATTTTTCTTTTTTAATTCTACTTGTGTCTATGTTTTCTTTACTTTATAAATTAATTAATTCATTTTTTGCTTTTAAACTTTCGATTTAATTATAAATTAATAGATTTCTTATTATTTCATATTTATTTTTCTTCATTTTTTCTTTCCTGATAACTAAGTAACTATTCAATTTTTATATATTTTCTTCAATATTTCAAAAGTTACAATAAAATTGGTGACGAAGGTGCATTAGGCTTAGGTACTGCTTTAGCAAATAACACTAATCTCTAAAATTTGACACTTTAACTCTAGTAAAAATAGTTTATTTGTTTTAGATTTTAATATTTTTTCAAGAAAATATGAATTTTAAATAAGAAAAATATTTTAATTTATTTATTCATTTATTTGCTTTTATTTTATTTATTTTTATTTCTAAGCTTTGCTTGAGTGTTTTTTTTATTTCTTTAATTTACTCATTTATTTTTCCATTTTAAAATTTTGCTTAGATTATTAATTAATATGTTTCTTATTATTTAATATTTTTCTTCATTTATTCAATATAACTAATTTGTTAATTATTTTCATTTTCTTCAATATTTAAAAAGTTAAAATTAAATTGGTGATACATACATACATACATACTCGCACATGGTTACATGCACTCGGGATAGGGGCCCTATATATAATTACTTATACATTATTATTATACGTATACCAATTTATTTATATATAATTGTGGGTAATATATTAGAAGGGAAGGGTCACCTACACCCTAATGGCATTTCTACTAATCTTCCATGATTTGACTACGCATTATGCTCGCTTCCCATTTGTATTCCAGATCTTCTGTTCAGAATGGGGCCTCCTCTTTACCACCTATCAGATTTGGCCCTTCCCTCCTACCAAGGAGACCGCTGGTAACATTCACATTTTTACATGGAATTTTTCGAAATAAAGGGGGCGGTATAGGATTCGAACCCCCGATATCACTGCTAAGACCCTCCGACTCGCCCACTCGAGCCGCTTAGCCCTTCTTTTAAATTGGTGATGAAGGTGTATTAGGTATAGGTTCTTGTATATCAATGTGCACTAATCTCTCAAGCTTAACACTCGACCTCTTGTAAAAATAGTTTATTAGTTTTGGATTTTGATTGATATTTTTTAAAACAATACAACTAACTATTTTAATTTAGTATTTATTAATTTTCATTTGATTTATTTTTATTTTTTATTTTACTTATCTTCTTTATTTTCTCTTAAAATAAAACTCTTTTATTTTTCATTTTAAATTTTTGCTTTGAATATTAGTCATTTAATTAATTTTTGAAGATTTTATATTTTTTCTTCATTTTTACCTTCAAACTAACAATTTTTTTGCAATATTTAAAAAGTTTCAATAAAGTTGGCATAATTGGAGCATCAAGCTTAGGTTCTGCTTTAAAAAATTGCACTAATCTTTAAACTTTAACACTTGCACTCAAGTAAGAAGAGTTTATTTGTTTTGGATTTCTACATTTTTTAAGATAAAAATGAATATAAAATAAAAAATATCTTTTAATTTGAATTATTTTTCTTTTGCTTGTGTGTTTTTTAACTTTTATTTCTTAATTTTAATCAATTATTTTCATCTTTTTGTTTGATTACAAACTAATTCATTTCATATATTTTTCTTCAATATTTAAAAGTTAAAATAAAATTGGTGATGAAGGTACATTATTCTTAGGTTCTGCTTTAGCACAGTGCACTAATCTCTCAAATTTAACACTTAATCTTTCGTAAGAAGAGTTTATTTATTTGAATTTTTTAATATAAAAATTAATTTAAAACAATAAAACTCATCATTTAATTTATTTATTTACTTTTTATTTGATTTATTTTTCTTTTTTATTCAATTTGTGTGTGCTTTTCTAATTTCTTAATTTGAATCATTCATTTTTACATTTTAAACTTTTGATTTGATTAAAAAGTTTTTTATTTCTTATTATTTTATATTTTTTCTTTCTAACTAACTAATTAATTATATGTATATTCTTTAATATTTAAAAAGTCGTAATTAAATTAGTGCAATTTGTGCATCGGGCTTAGGTTCTGCTTTAGCAAAATGCGCTAATCTATCAAATTTGGCTCTTAATCTTTCGTAAAAACAATTTTTTTGCATTGGATTTATATTTTTTTATATAAATACGAATTTAATACTACAACACTGTTTATTTATTTATTTGATTTATTTTTCTTTTTTTATTCTTCTTATTCAAATTTTATTTACTATTTAAAATATCATTTAAATTTAAACATTTTATTCAGTTAAATTGGATTAGTAATTTACACTAATTTATATTAAAAGAAAAAACGAAATCAATGGATCAGAAGAATTTAAAGTAAATAGCAAGCTTTTTAAATCAAAAAGATTAGTTGCTTTTAAAATATATTTCTAACTATGATAAAAAAATGGAGAAAATACAAAAATAAATA